ACAATTATCACATATGACATAAGTTGTAATAGCAGAAACTTTCTAACCGTACATTCACCCGCCACTGTTCAAGAACCTATATCACTGTTTAAAATCATGACGTGAGCACTGTACATCCAATCAGCTATTCCTTTAGTTAGGATGATAGCCAAAACTATAAGGATTTTGGAGAACTAGGGTAATAGTCATAATTCTAAAATTTGAGTGAGTTACACGTGTTTTATTGATGATGATAAACATTTGCAATGTATTACGCCATGCAAGCGCGCACTGAGGGACTTTATGACGTCACGAGGCCACAGCTTATTATTGCAATAAAACGCGTTACACGTACGCTAGAGAGTTGGTTCTTTCGGCGATACGATTCTTTACCAGTTTGTCACAGCTGATTTAAATCTTAGCCAAATTGGAGACTACAAAATTTTCAGTTATCTGGTCCTTTAAATAGATTCACAAATTAAAATAGCTCGTCTCCTTTGCATGGGTCGTCCTATTATTCTTATGTTGCATAAATATAACTTAATTCAGGAATACTAATCTCTCAAACACTTCAGTCAGTTACGAGAGCCCCTGTCTAACGTATCACATCTCCCTGAGATATTTCCTCCCGTCATACCATCTTATAACAGGTAAATGTGCAGTTTTAGAACATTCTATATGTATACATTCTAGATGTATACATTCTACATGTACATTCTACATTCTACATGTAGAATGTAGAATGTAGATTAGGTTGGTTCAAAAATCACAAACTTTCTCCGAAAATCAGAGAAACTTTGTGTTTTTTTAAACCAACCTAAATAGTAGGCCATGGGCCGGATTAGATGCCATGGATTACCGTAAATACAGGGTGGCCCATAAGTGACTACCCACACGCAACCTCTTAATAACTCACGTAATTCGTCTCCAAATTGCACCAAAATTTCAGAGATTATAGATATGGGTCAAACTTAGATTTCCTGAAAGTTTCGTAAGCCACGCCCAATTACAGTGGGCGTGGCGTGACACTCCCTCTTTTTCACTATTGTCTTCATAAAATGAGAACGCTTTAAGCTAAGAACTCAAAATTTTTTGCACACATTTGGCTTGATAATTGAAAACTTTTCCAAGAGTTTCAAGTTCATTGGTTAAAATATGGCTGAGTTATGACCATTTTAAAATCCATCGGATATGTGATCCGAGCACTCAGTCAGTGATATTTGCACTCAATTAGTGATCTCGTCACCCAATCTGATCAAGAGTAAGGCGTTAGCGTGTATTAATGAGGTTCATTAGGCTTTGATTGGATACCGATGATGACTTTGCTAGAAAGGGAAACACAAATTTTTAGGATAAAAACCAGATCGTGACTTTTCAGGAAAAGCCGTTCTCTCCACCACTTCATCCGGTCTAGTAGAGCCCCAGTGAATTGCATTCTGGGAGTTGACATATCCGTTTATATGGCCTTGTCGCTGTATCAGATTTCGTCCTCAAAGTAGGGATCCACATTCTGCTTGGACAGGAATGTGTTGGCGAAATCTATCCTCGATTGGAAATCACGGTCCAAAAGTTTGTGTTTCTTTGTGATTCGGTAGGCCCGGTTCGATGATTCAATGGATGGTTCATTCCTTTTTATTGATTGTAAGGAACCTGTGACTAGCAGGGCTAACAAGCCCTGAAATGGTGACACCACTATAAATTCGTGTGATAGCGTTTTAGGTGCAGTCAGCTGTATAGGCCGGCCCATAAGCAGGCTGCAACCAATCAAGCGGTGCATGTGAGCCAAACAGGCCATTAACCAAGTGACGAGATCACTGACTGAGTGCTCGGATCACGTATCCGATGAGTTTTGAAATGGTCATAACTTAGCCATATTTTAACCAATGAACTTGAAACTTTGGGAAAGGTTTTCAATTATCAAGCCAAATGTGTGCAAAAAATTTTGAGTTCTTAGCTTAAAGCGTTCTCATTTTATGAAGACAATAGTGAAAAAGAGGGAGTGTCACGCCACGCCCACTGTAATTGGGTGTGGCTTACGAAACTTTCAGAAAATCTAAGTTTGACCCATATCTATAATCTCTGAAATTTTGGTGCAATTTGGAGACGAATTACGTGAGTTATTAAGAGGTTGCGTGTGGGTAGTCACTTATGGGCCACCCTGTAACATATTCTTGACGGCATTATGCTATGGGTAATCATTCTCAGTTTGCTGCAAACAAAATGACTTGCTAAATTAACGCAAGGATATTTCCAGTGATTCTGACGATGAGCACGAATATGCTAGCATGGAAATAGCAACACTCTCCAGAATGCGGATCCGGAATCTTAACGATAAGGCGACCAGCAGCAGACACCAGAGCGAACAGGATGACACGGAGTATGCTACCATCTTGACAAACTTTAAAACGTAGAGAACATCTCTCAGGCTTAAAAAAATTATGAACAAATAAAAATGCAGGGTTGAAAATGAGTTATAATGGAGAGAAGCTAAAACGGCTTTCAGTTGTTCTTGGTGTGATTTTTCCTTGATTTATGGATATTAGTTATGAAGTATTTCTATGCAAATTGAAGTTTTTCCAAATGCTTCCTCATAAACACGATCTTCTTCAAATGGAAATGCACATTTTATTGCGTGAGTGATTATTTTGATGGTTTTTAAATGACTTTATCGGTGTCTTTGTTTTGATAGGCAATTTGTTTTTTGACACGTTTTCAGTTTTAAATTTTACATTGCAGCTGATCGAGCATAATTTTTCATTGGTACGCTATGAGTATGGAGCTTGTTTTATTCATCGATTTTCTCGTTTCTGTGTTGGCTTTTGTATTATAATGAAGTCAATTTCTGTGTTACAATTATATTACTTTGTCTGTTACAATTGAGCTAACATTTTTTAATATTAAATATTAAGTCGTTCATCCAGAAACATAAACGTCGTTTTGTTGACGTCTAAAATGCTTTCCGTATGTGAAATTGACAAAACGGTATGTGTGTATATATGTATTTAGTCATTTGATTTATCGATTTGAAATTGTGTTTTCTAATTTTTGATTGTCAGTTTGTTTTTAAAATTTTACTCTTTTTGAACGAAATTCTGAATGCGTATAATATATTGACTCCAAAACTGCGACAACATTTTTTATGGATACTAAGTCTGGAAACTAAAAAACCATCCACTCTTCCAGTTTTTAAGTTCTCATTAAGAGAGATGCACACTTCTTAAAATTATGTATTAAAACCTAAAATAATCTAAAAATAAACACAGAAGGTCCGAACGTTGTCATATAATCAATACTATGAGGAACAATTCACAGTTTGGGGGAGGGGGGGGGGGAACGAACAAACTCTCTAATAAGACTGAACGTGCCATAGATTGGAAACAGGCTGAAACATTTATGGCATCTTTCAAGAACATTGAAGCTTGAACACACGTGACTGTCGACCAGTGCTTGGCAACTGAATAACGATGGATAACTATTAAACTATTAAGACGTTGTAAGAGTCCGATACCAAGAATCACGTGTTATCTCAGACCACAACCATCTTATCTAGTTATACTTGACAGTTAGGACAGCAAATACTGTGCCAGTACCTCCAACCACCAAGACATGTTCATAATAATAAACTGAGAAGTTCAATTAATCGCCTGCGTAACCGCGGCAACCTGTCAAAATTTGTAAACGGAGCGTGATTTCTCGATCATATCAACTTGTTGCCATGGTTCAACACATAGCACCAGTAAGCTTATCGCGACTGTAAAATGTTTTAATCAACAAAAAGATGTTTATTGTAATATTTCATTGGATCGAGCACTAAGAGGGCACATAAGCTAATGAAACAGTAGGAACATAACAGTATTAATATAAATACTGAACAGGATAATATTAATATAATGCTACACGAGAATAATGTAACAGCTAGTACAAGTGTAATCCTTAAAGAAAACGGCTACAATTTGTGTAATCTTTAAAGAACTTTGAGAACTTTGAGTGCCACTTAGCAGACGGTCTTTTGTGAATCATCCCTTTATGGGAGGGTTTAGCATTTATACTCCCTCTCAAAAGCTTGCGGAGTAACTATTTGACAGTTTTCTGTTGTTAACACTTTTATAACGTCACAGTGCTTAAGAGGGATCGTATAAAAGCAAAACAGGCAAATTAACAAGTTGAACAAATTCCCGCTTTTTCATTATAAGAGTGGCAGTTGTATAATGTATATGAATGGGAATTAAATAATTCTTTACGTTGTAATTTGTCTTTGTGATTTATCTTCCATAGTTTGATTATTTTGTGACAGAAGCCGTCAATATAAAGCCCCCGCCGCCACAATTTGATATAGCAAACAATATTAAAATACTTTAACCATAGTAACAGAAACTTAAAAGACAAGATCAATCCTAGGCGACCTACGTTTAGTGTTTTGAAATACATTTAGCAGTTTAATGTTTTGTGATAATTGCCGCGCGTTAATCATTTCAAGCATAAACAAGAAACTAATCGATGATCATCTGTCATATGATGATTTTAAAAAAATAATATGAACCTGTACCTCTGAGAGCTTTTCACGGAACTAAAGTTTTAATATTTTCAACAAGTAATTTTATTTTTGATTAAGCTGCAGTGACAATATAAATTTCGTCGTATAATTTCGCAATTTTTGAACGGACCAGTAATTGCTAATGCGGAAATAAATAACTTTTAGCAAACTAATAAATAACTTTAAGCAAACTAATCACTTACAATAAATAACGTTAACCTGCACGTTAACCTGCACGTAATAACGTTAACCTGCACGTTAACCTGCGCGTAATAACGTTAACATGCACGTAATAACGTTAAACCTGCACGTAATATAACGTTAACCTGCAAAGTGCACGTAATAACGTTAACCTGCACGTAAACCTGCACGTAATAACGTTAACCTGCACGTAATAACGTTAACCTGCACGTAATAACGTTAACCTGCACGTAATAACGTTAACCTGCACGTTAACCTGCACGTAATAACGTTAACCTGCACGTACCTCAGTGATGACTGAACTCTTCCTCAGTTTATTCAGTCCTAGTTCCACTTTCTCGCTCAGTATATTACTGCCACTATTCTGAAATTAATCATGTTGTTTGCTATTGTTCTCGGTTCAAATGAGGTATAAGCTACGTAAAACTACTGCAGAAATGTAATACTTCCTTACGTAAAATAAGTAAGTATTGCTCGCGGTTGAATACTGTGAATAGCAATAGAATTATCTAAATAAAGATTAGAGATATTATTGTACTACTATTCACTACAAGAGTACAAGTAGTAATGTTTGAACTACGTTGCAGAGATTAGAAATATTATTGTACTACTATTCACTACAAGTATAGTAATGTTTACGTTGCAGAGACTAATTTCAAAAGCTCACCTGCATCTCACCGAGCTTTCGGAACAACTGAAAATAATAACAACTTAAAACGAGTTTAGATACCGTATACTCATATAACGATAACAAATTAAGGTATTAAATAACCGGCTAGTTCAAGTTGAGGTCTATAAGTATGATTTTATCCGGAGGTCTGAACAAGTAGTAAAGTTTTCTTTAGATCAATAGATACATTTTCCTTTACAAAAAGATGTTTCATGACAGCCCTGGATTTTTACAAGTGAAGTTAGCTGAACAAACTCTTAACCCGGGGGAACAAAGATTCATTCTAAAAATAAATGGGAAATTCAATAAAATATACTTGTTTTTCTGTCCTATTCGTCTTATATTGGCACAAGATAGGTCTTTGCCACTTTTCAGTTGAATAGTCCACGTACATAAGTACGTAGAAGTACGTAGAAGTAGAAGTCAACGTATAAAGTCAACGTATAACATATAGGTACAATGGTAGTAACGCTCGGAGGTATGCAAACATTTGGAGGAAGGCAATGCAGATTGCAGGACAGTCGACAAAATTAGCATAATTAATTAATTATATGTCGCTGATTCACATAATTATTTGTCACTTATTGACGGTTTGGTGTCGTTTAAACTTTTAAAGGAGTATATACAGGCATTTCAGTCAAGAGACAACTACAAAATTGGTAAGCTAATAACCAAGTTTGTAGCCAACCTACAATTAGCTTCAGAATTCTGTCTCTTTCGTATAATTCTGTATCTACACAATGGTAAGGTGAACCGTATATTTTATATATATTATACATATGTTAAACTTAATATGATAACAATAAGTGAACTTACCGTATACACAAAGGTAAACATTTAAAATGGTATAGGGGGAATCATTCAGGTCGAGTATGCAGCAGCATGCAGTTATTAGTAATATAAATCATATGGTAATATTATAATATATTATATATGAGTATTGCTGAAAGCACAGTGTAAGGCCTACACGGACCGCCCCTAACTAGCCAATCCCTGTTTACATGCCGTGTAGCAGGGGACTAGAAAGAGCTAAACTAGTAAGCGGGGCATAACCAATATGCCAATATGCCAATATTATATATGTTAATATAATAACAATTAGTAATTTACGTGAGTTAACTCACCGTGCTTATTGGTCCAGTAATGTAAAAGGAATCGTTCCTATTCGTGGCTAGGTAAGATTTAGATTGTACGTGGTTAATAAAGCACTGTGTAATAACTTAGTCACTATATTATTATACATATTATTTATTATATGTTATAACTATTGTACGTATAATAACAATCATGTATAATAACGATCATGTATAATAACTTTTATATATAATGACTATTGACTATTACAAATGTGAGTGTTTCCAACGCTGCAAAGTGCTCAACTAATATTTATTATAAGAGCTATTATAATTTTGAACAATTAACAAATACATTTGCTTGGTTCAAAATTATAATAACTATTATAATATAATGACATAAGTAAACTACGAAACAAAAGAGTACCTAAAAGAGATTCAGCAAAGTTCTGGTATATTTACGCTTTATTTGATTCCCTTCGCACTGGACGCGAGGCATTAAGGGTCAGACATTCACGAGCACCCCGCACCTGCCCGATAATAATTTAATTAACTAAATAAGATAATTACAATCGATCAGGACCATGATACTAAGATCTACAAACTCTTATGTTCGACGTAAATAATAAACGTATTGTTCCCATGAGAGATCAAAATAACAACTTGATATTAAAGTTATTAACGAAAATAAGTTATACCTATCATAAATCCCAATATTATACCTTAAAAGCTTAAACTTTACAGATAAATTAATGTAATATATTATAAAATGGTTAGCGTGAAGATGTTTAGTATAAAAAACCGAGAAATTAAACGTCATAATTATCATCAGAAAAATACTAATTATAATTTAAAAAATACTAAATATGAATTACACTATTTCACAACATTACTGGGTACTGCAACCCAAACAAAGTATTCTAATCAACGATAAAAATGATATTACAAGCACATTAACCCAAGCTTAACTAACTAACTGTGTAACAGAGTCTGGGTGACTAATCTCAAATTAGTGATAGTCTCTGTCTAAATCTAACAAGTCGGCCATTTACCAAGCTGAGATTTGGTACAGCTTCGGCTGGTGATACACACTCTCTGGCTCGTAGGACTAACCCCCCCCCCCTACAGCTAGTATAGTGCCTCGGCACAGAGTGGCTTAGGGTTATTGAAAAGGAGATAAGCACCTCAGGCCATCCCAACTTGCGGGAGAGACCTGCCCTTGTATCTTGTTGTATCTAACTCTAACTCATCATGTTCATGCTATCTCTTCCAGATACACCACCCACCAGGGGATACACTCCTCGGAGCTCAAACTCGCTGCTTTGCTGGAGGAATGACAGTGAGATCTCCTCTCTGTGGGGTGGTCACACAATGTGATGGCCCTGTTGTTAAAGCATAGGTGACATAGGTAGGTAACTCAAACTCAAACTCAAACTCAAACTCAAACTCAAACTCAAACTCAAACTCAAACTAAAACTCAAACTCAAACTCAAACTCTTACTCTAACTCTAACTCCAGCTCTGGTCCTCTTCACAAAACCTCTGGTAAGGCTGCCATTCTATTGGATTCACTCATTCACTAACTTATCAAGGTTTGAGGGCCTTTTATTAGGGTTTAAGGGCCTTATTAACAAGGTTTAAGGGCCTTGTTACCAAGGTTTAATTAAGGGCCTTGTTATCAAGGTTTAAGGGCTTTGCATAAACTTTAATCAGTAAATTAAACTATGGCAAACTTATTCGTTCTACTTGCAAAACAAGAATGAGTGTGAATATAAATAAGTTTGGAAACAAGTAAAATGACTGCAAGCGTATTTTGCAGGAAACTTCGAGAAAAATAAAGAATATCTAATAATAGATCCTATAGGGTCTAAAAGGATAAAATCCAATATGAGAAGGTAAATGAACCAATGCATCGTGGATTTAGAGCTACTGCTTGACATGTCACTCACAGTACATTACGATTAACGATTAACCATCTGTAACGTTTTTAGTGGCAGAGACCGGTAATTACTCAGCTGAACTACTTGCCAAGTTGTATTAGGACCGGTATTTTCTTCAACGATCTGTCATTTCTGTGAACCGATGATGTAATAAGAGCCACTTTTCCAGTTTTACTTTCCAGATCAGGCCGAAGATAGGTGGTTGAGCCATTAGCAGAAAAACAGAGGTTGAGGTTATTGAATCGTAAAAACAGCTTCCATAGGTTTGGAAAGGATTGAAATTGTAGGGTCAGTGAATAATTAGTCTTAAATTCTTAAAAATTGTTCGGGCATTTAAACTTTTATCTTAGATTACATAATATTTCGTAGACTAAAATATTTTAAAGATACCTTAGTATTACTGTAAATTAATTGAAACGTCCTCGCCTACTAGTTTGCCTGGGAAACAGGCTGGGACTGTCATCGAACTGAGGGCGAAACGGCTGTTTCGTGGAGTGAAAATACTGAAACATGCCGTGAAATGGTACAAAAACTAACGTTTTTGTTTTCTGTTTCGACCCAGCCGTCTAAAAGCTCGTTGACAGTCTCAGCTTATTTTTGTACCACGTGAAAGTTGTATCCTGGGAATTGGATTTGAACATGGTCGGGACAGATTATCCCGGTATGGACCGGTTTGGTTTCTGAGAAACCGTTTCTCAGCAGTTTGAACCGAGAAAATCAAATCGCTACGGTGGTATGCATCGTTGGAGCACTAATATTGGAATTTGGACAAACTGACACACAAGCACACAAAGACACAGACTCGCAGACACACAGACACACAGACTCGCAGACTCACAGACCGACACACAGTGTCATTATGTAGTATGAATGTTGAGGAATATTTTGCTGCATTATCGTACGCAGTGGGAAGGGGTAAAGCAATAAGGCTGGTCGTAGACAAGGTCTCGTACAGTGAATATATCCCCTAGGTTCAGTTAAGTTCGAGTTTGTAAAGATAAATAATATGCAGAATTCTGGCGGCTAGAATATGACAGTTTCTGAAAATATCATTGTACTTATAGTCGTTGCAGTATATAATATTATAAACTATATTATAAACTATATTTTTATAAACTATATTTTACTTTCTATTGGAGAAATACTTAGTTTTCAATAATTTTATAAATTGCATGCAATTATTGAAAACTACGTTATACTTATAACCTGAATTTTGAATATTTCCACCACAATATTATGTTGACACTTTTATCCACTCAGCTAAAGTGACCTCATCAACAAGAAATATCGCACCAGTGTCCAATAGGTACCTAAAACCGACATATCGTACCTTAACAACTAAAGCCAAATCCAAGATTAGTGTGTACCTAAAACCAACATCATACAGCTACTACAAAATCCTACTTTTAGTACAAATATCTTATTTATAATTCGAAAGATTATGTTTGTTTGTCGTTTGTCGTCTGTAAGCTAGAGCGTCGATTACATTTTAATCGGCTGTATCTTCGGTTGTGACGGATATTTTTGGATGCGATAAAAACTTAGCTTCCTCCCTGTGACCACGGGTTTTCTTATTTCTAGTATTAACTAATGTATAAAATAATGAATTGAAGAAGACAAACCTCTTTATTTTTCTGGAAAACAGGATCTTGATCTTCCTTCTCTTCCTTCTGGAATTAAGTTACTCGGTTAGAATTAAGTAACTTAGTTAGAATTAAGTTAGATAATCCCCTTCAGTACATTAACTAAAAGACAACTCATCACATGACACATAACAATAAAACCAAAATTACTGAAATTTCAGTTCGAATGTTCTCGTAATTGATATCAAACAATTGGGTTTCACCAGTGGCGTAACGAAGGGCCTCGCTGACCTCGCTGTGCTGGGCGGGGGTAATCGTCGTTTGAATGGGTACACGACACACGTACTTATACACGACACACGTACTTAAGTTCGACACGCACTCTAGTTCGACACGTACTGTTCGACACGTACTGTTAGTAGTAAAACCTAAGGTTTTACTACTAACCTTCGACAAGAAAATTTCGACTGTCGAACTAGAGTACATTCTCACACTTATTCTGCTGTATCCGTACTCAAGTTCGACACGTACTCTAGTTCGACCCGTACTGTAGTTCGACAAACCCTAATGTTCGACTCTGTCGAACTAAAGTGCGCTACCTGGACTCATGGTCGACACGGACTAAACTTCGACAAGAAAACTTCGACTGTCGAACTAGTGTACATTCTTACATTTTTTCTGCTGTATCCAATGAGGTCTAAAATGTACCGAAGTCCGAACTCTATAATCCATATCTATGAACATGTTATTCAATGAAATAAATTATTGACTTCAGACTCAATTGTTATCGTTGTGACCCTTTAACAGAATTATAGACTAAGCGGAAAGATAAAAAACTATCGTGGTAACCCGTACTCCGTTTTGTATATCTAGATTGTAGTTGTAGAGTACGCTATATGAATATCTACCAAATACCACACTTTATATTATCACAAACGACTAGTAACCGAGTACCGGTCTAGAGATTTGGCTGCTGAACCGGAAACAGTCGGATATCAATCTATTTTGGACTCTAGTTCGACACGTACCGAAGTTCGACAAGGGTGATATCTGGCGAACTTAAATTAATTTTGAACATATTGCAACGTTACGCCCCTAGACTTTGAACAACAATCGCACGGAGGTTCCAGCGAAAATCAAAATCAAAAATATTCCAAAACCTACGATCTAATAATGTTCCCCTAGGTTGTCCTTTATACTACTTCAACTACTTCTACTACTTAATGGGAAAACTGTTGTCCACTGGTCCAGGTAAATGCGTATTATAGTTAAGCAGTGAGCTAGACTACTACTACTTCTTCCAGGGCTACTACTACTAGCACAGCTAGAGTTCCAATGCATGGAATTTTATAACATCAAACAACTAAAATCATTCATAAAATCATCAAACGCCAGATATCCCTGCTCCTTATTTATACGGTGACTAAAATTTAGTAACGATATAATTACAGTACGGTATCGTAAAGATGATCGAAATTCTGAAAATGTATAATAAACCCTTTTACTCTTTAGCATCTTACTACCCTTTAAATCGTAAACGAAGAACTGCAATTTGGCCACCATATGAAGATCTAGAGAGGTTATATAAACTGCTTAACCTACAATTTGGAATGTTACGGACATCCATGTAGGTATATGCGGGCTAGTTGTGACTAGTTGTGACTAGTTGTGACTAGTTGTGACTATTTGTGACCATTTATGACCAGTTGTGAGTGATTGATTATAGCTTCCCCGTAAAATTAAAACGGTGGAAATGATTATCTTTAAGATCTGTGAAAGTGAGGATGCAAGGTTTGATATCTTATTACCATAATTTATTTTCTCCTAAAAAGGACACGGTGTTTATCAGCGCTCTTTACCCGTTAAATAGGAAATGTCAGAATTAACTGCAGGTTTTTACTAAGCTTTCAGTACATTTAAAGTAATAATTTTGGTATTAATTCCGAGCACGTGCTAAAGTACTCGATATCAAGTTTGTTTGATGTGTTTTTAAACGCGGATTCCGAATCTCCCCACATTACATAGGGTTAAAATATTTTCCCCCAGTTATTAGCTTAAAAAACTGTTTTTATCACGCGACATGGCCATATAAGGAAGTAGGTCAAATACTGCAGAATATCGCGGAATACCGTGATAACTTAATAATAACGTACCTCAGAGGCACCATTATACCGTGATAACTTAATAATAACGTACCTCAGAGGCACCAATATACCGTGATAACTTAATAATAACGTACCTCAGAGGCACCATTATACCGTGATAACTTAATAATAACGTACCTCAGAGGCACCATTATACCGTGATAACTTAATAATAACGTACCTCAGAGGCACCAATATACCGTGATAACTTAATAATAACGTACCTCAGAGGTACCAGTATACCGTGATAACTTAATAATAACGTACCTCAGAGGCACCATTATACCGTGATAACTTAATAATAACGTACCTCAGAGGCACCAATATACCGTGATAACTTAATAATAACGTACCTCAGAGGCACCATTATACCGTGATAACTTAATAATAACGTACCTCAGAGGCACCAATATACCGTGATAACTTAATAATAACGTACCTCAGAGGCACCATTATACCGTGATAACTTAATAATAACGTACCTCAGAGGCACCAGTATACCGTGATAACTTAATAATAACGTACCTCGGAAGCCCCAATATCAATCTCAACCACGTTCTTGTTTTCGATGACCACGCCGGACTCTTTTTCTCCTCCATTACTGAAAAAGAAATTGTCAGTTATAGTTATCGTTCATCGTATACTTAGATGCAGTGAAACTATCGGACTGCGATTAATGGGACTTTCCACCCATGGCAACATTATTGGTGCGTGTCAGTTATCTTATAAAGTCGTGTGTGTCAAAACACTACTAATGTTTCACCGAAGAAGAATTTATGAGAATGTAAAGTAAGATCCAAAATTCGACTGAAAAAGATAAGAATTTTAACACCAATATAAAGAGAGAATAATAGCATTTCCAGTTTTTCAGACTTAAGCTTACTCACTAATTTACCGTCAATGATGAATGTCAAGAAAGAAAATAGACTGGTCATAAAACAGTTTAGATATTAGGACGCAAAGGTTACATGTTTAGATATGACTTTCATCAAATTAACCAATAGAAATGCCGTAGACACTCAAAAAGATTCAACTCTCAACTAAGATTTAATGATCCAGTCTTCGTACCTGTCCAGGGATTCTACGCTACCATCAATACTGCAGGATTAGTGAATAAACCACAACGTTTTTTAAACTATAATTACGTAGAAAACCCAATCACGTTAATGATTAATGCCAATATCAAGTGTTAAATATGGCGCCATCCTTATTTCTGTTATTGCGCGCGCTATTATATGGGAGTATTGGACCCTAGCTTAAGCTCTAGACAGTACATAACACGTTACTTAATTAGTGATTTATGATCCAACTTTAAACCACAATCAGTAAGATCACGATAACAAACTGTACCTAGTTGACTCAGGTTTAGGTTCGTCTCCCTTCTTTTTCTTAGGGTCCTCACTCTCGTCAACCTTGTCCGGGTTGGCCATAACGTAGACTTTGTTATTCGGCGTCACGCCTTCCGCCCTGAGGGGTAGTGTGTGTAATGGTGTGTTCCGCTTGAGGCGTGGGGTCAGCCCGAATATATCGACTAATATCAACTGATATCGACCGGTCGATATTAGTCCCCTCAAGTCGCCCATGGGTCTGACCCCATGCCTTGTGTGAGCCTTCTGCCCTGAGGGTTAGTTTGTTTTAGTTTGAGTGCGAATTCATGTTTCACCTTGAGGATTAGTGTGTGAGCCTTCCGCCCTGAGGGCTGGTTTGTGCAATTGTGTGTAATTGTGTGCCCTAGCTTGTGAGCTAGTTTGCATAATTTATAATCGCCCTGAGCTCTGAGGGTTACATTATGTGCAAGGGTCTGGAATTATATATTTTTGTGACTGTTTTTGTAATCTATAAATCAATCTATTATCTTTCTGTTACCATGTTTTGAATTACCCGATCACAATATGCTAACAAAGTAATATTTTAACTGGAACCCAATACAGAACCCAATAGATACTACAATCAATTACGTACACATCCATTGCCGTTATGTGTAACAAATATTATGATAACAAACACCGCTCAGGTACTGAATACCATCCGATTACAAAGTGAGAATGATGAACATTTTACAATGTATAGTATACACACAATGTACAGAATACATACAATGTACAATATACACACGTGTTTACCTTGGAAAACTGTTAGTCAGCAAGAAAAGGGAATTATGTCCAGGTAGTCCACTCATGGCTCCAAAGTGAGATCGGCTTTACAAGATATTGCAGACGCAGATATGTGTAATATATGTCGCATAACTACATATATATAGATATTTGTTTGTGCTTCGAAAAACCAAGGGGTTACAGCTAAAAACCAGGATTATCTGCCAGGACAGGCAAGCCCCGGCTGGGGGCTATAGGGGGCAGCTTCCGTAAGATTCTTGAGAAAATGAAGGCTTTTTTAGTGTGCTGTGTAAACCGTTCTAATGTCATATGGCCCCAGATTAACGAGAACCAGTATGACTGACCAGTTTTATCAAGACTATGAATTGTATGAAACTGTGAAAATAACATCTATTCAGATAAATATTGCAGGCCATTTCTTGGACATTGCACAACAGAAACATGGCCTTAACCACGATAAAGAAAACATCTGTAAACCAATAACACGACCAAGCGTTTATATCAACTCCCTCAATCAAAGAAGTCTTAGCCATGGCCCATGCACGTGAGTACCTCGTCACGTGGGCACATGATCACGTGATACTAGTCACGTGACCACAGTATCTACCTGTTTGGTGACGTCATCAAGTGCAGCTGAGCGGGTGTGCAGTGAGAAACTATTGCGCAATTGCAGGGCAACCTTACTAGGACAAAACAAACAGCTTATGGAGATTAGGGTGAGATTTTATATGTGAGAGAGCTGGGAGAGACCTCTACTCTTTACTCTCTAATGTAAGAGAGAGCTAGAGTGTGAACTATAACAGTGGACAGTGGGTACCACCACTGCAAGACATGGTTTAGATCAAGCAACAAGTACCATAATGTCTAGTATAGTTACTAGTAACTCTAGTTACTAGTAACTACCTATAGTTACTAGTAGCTCTATTGGTAGCTGTAACAGTAGCTCTAGTTTCTGAGTTACAATTAGCTGGATCAGATAGACCTCTAGTGTAAGAAGAGAAAAAGGAGGTGGAGAGCTTGTATTAAGGCCCCAACACACTGTGACCAAGGACAAAAGAAAATCGTGATTATTTAGGCCAAAAATAGTATAGTTAGATTAGGAAGCGACAGGCTCGTCAGGCAAAACAATAGCATTTATATTAATAATCGTTAGTGTGCACTGAGTAGTATTAAGATCTAAACAGACTCTTCTTCATGATGAATACGATTGAAACATTGTCAAGTTAGAAAGCGGTAAGAGGTACATGGCTGTAAATATGAATTTGAAGCTAAATTGGATTAAAAAGATCGAAATTCTGTTTTAAAAATCCTGGCTAATATCCCGGCCAGAACGATAATCCCGGCCGGGACAAAAACGCCAAATCCCGGCCGGTATCCCGGACGAGCTCTGAGTATACTTTGACTGAGCGATTTCATACTTTTGCACCGTTTTAACTACCAAAATGTAATGAGTTTTTAGAATATAATAGTATAGGCGGGTTTATACTTTTGCATTTCAACGGTGATAGTGAAGTCCCGGCCGTAGGCCTTGGTTACACTAGTATAACATAATCTCGAATATATTATTGCTATAAAACAGCATACTGGTAACTGGAAGTTATATTGGTCAAATATGTGTTGAGTATGTACAATTTGTATAGCAACTTAGACAAATAAACACCAGCGATTCAAGCTGTAACTTACTCGTTGTTACACGAATTATGAATTTGGGGTACACTGCCAGTGTACTACACTGGTTCATAGGATTAGAGTAATGACAATTGCTAGTTGGTTTGTGTGCAGATAGTAGGTCTGTGCGGCTTCTAGTGATAATAGAAAATTATTATAATTATTACGTAAGAATTATTATAAAAGTTATGTTTATATAGAAACAAGGAGAGTAACTTACATATTGAGGCACTTTCCTTATAAGCTTATACCTATCGAGAATGACTCGGACCGAAAATTTTCTAAATCGAAATTATTTTCAAAGTTTTTCTGGAAACTACTTTTGTTCATGTTTCATGCTACCCTGATCATTATGAGCCGAAAATAATTTTTCGGTCCGTACCTACATTCGGATTTAAAGGAGGATGCGCAAATTTGGTCCTCAGAGAACTGGAATAATCGCGATCTGTCGCGAGGAACTGAGAAAATCTCGATTTGACGGTCAAAAATCGCGATTTGTCGCGGAGAATAGGAAAAATCGCGATTCTGCACGTGCCGCGATTTCCTTTTGACCTTGACTTACGTCATCATGAGTCTTGTCACTAGTGTGCCTCTTAACACACTGTGCCTTTATTTTCTCAAGAATCTTATGATATTGTTATTATTTTAATATATATTTTTTCCCGATCCATGACTCAAAGTGCCGAAGGCACAAAAGAGTCAAGGACAAGGGTTAGCGAACGAGGTTTTTTTTTGTATATGGTAGCTTGCGACCGTGCGAGCGTGCGTGAATACGTGCCCGCCCACGTTCCTACCTGCGCAAAGTTATTTTGCGTGATAATCTGAATTATATAATTGTTGGCGCGCGGCGCTGAACCAACCAAGTACATTATTAATTTCATCATGTACGTATCCCACTAGGCACTAATTGATAGCATATTATCATTATTTTGAGTTAGAAGTACTTTCTTGCACAGATCCGTGTCAGGTTGCATAACCAATAAAAATATGGTTACATAGAAATATACATGATTTTCAAATTCAATATTGAATTATATTAACTGGGCGGCAGTCGGCATGTCACTTCGCCATATTGGCATGTTTATAAAAACAGTAAAGACTGGGCCGTCCCCAGGTTGTATGGAATATGATAAATACGCCATCACGGATCGGGAAATTGAGCGGCCATCCACAAAAGAAAAGCGGCCGCATTTCTTGTTGTATTCCTTGTATTCCTTGTATTCCTTGTATTCCTTGTATTCCTTGTATTCCTTGTTTTCCTTGTATTCCTTGTATTCCTTGTATTCCTTGTATTCCTTGTATTCCTTGTATTCCTTGTATTCCTTGTATTCCTTGTTTTCCTTGTTTTCCTTGTATTCCTTGTATTCCTGTGCCATACGTCACGACTTTTACAGTTATAGCTAGGCAGTAGGCACAACTTAGTGAAAGACGTGCAGCATGACCATTGTCGCGACCTCTAAACACACTACGTGTTCACTCTGGTGGTGACTTGTGGTGTAAGAGATCTAGAGAGAGAGAGAGAGAGAGAGGGGGAGTGTAATGTAAGAGATCTAGAGAGAGAGAGGGGGAGTGTAAGGGATGATAAGGAGCCGTGTAATGTGCTTAACCAGAGTGGGGGGATATTGTTAAGGTTATGCAAATCAGCTCTCTCACACCGCTACTACTACTACTACTACAGGTCTCTCACTAATACTTAGCTACTACTAACACAGGTCGTTGCATAATTCTTGTCTTGATCATATGCCTGGGTATAGTTATACTTTTAACTACTCTGGTAATAAGCGCATGTATTTGTGTTAAAGAATCAAATAAAGATTAAAGGTAAAATCCGGATTGGAGTATTATTTATGAGTCGCATTGTTGTAATGTATTCTGGGTAAAATTATCTTTATCCCGGTTGTTGCGACAAGTAAAAATGCTCTTATTAGGGAAAGGAGATTACTCGACGTTTCAATGTAACTACATCGTATTCATGATCTCAAATTATTTGTTATATAGTAGTGTTGAAAGTATTAAAAACAAAATACTTCATACTTTCAACACTACTATATAACAAATAATTTGAGATCATGAATACGATGTAGTTACATTGAAACGTCGAGTAATCTCCTTTCCCTAATAAGAGCATTTTTACTTGTCGCAACAACCGGGATAAAGATAATTTTACCCAGAATACAAAGATTAAAGGGCATCTCAATAACTAATTTGATTGAAGGAAATCAAAGATGTTATGGAAACTTCGAAGAACGTATGGAATATGGATTGGTGACCGATTCGCAAAGGATAAGGAGATCGGAGGATTGGAAATTCTGGTGATTCATTCATCAGTTTCCAAGCAACTATCAAACATAATCTGTTAACAAAAGTTGTGCAATCATAAAAAGCAGCCGTAAAGATGGTTTTATCGAATATTTAAAGAAACGCGCGCAGATCTGGAAGAAAGCCACGAGTTATAACTTTATGAGCCCTGTGTTACCACGGTTATAAAGTTATAAGGACAGAGGGCCTTGAAAAGTTCAAACCTAACTGACTTTGTACTTCACAGTTCACAATTGTGAATACTCCTTTAGCAATTGCTTGATAGGAAAGATGCACAAGAATTGAGAAAAATATTATGAAAATAACAAATTTTTCTCATCAAGCATGAATGACAGGACAATACATTCCATTATAAGAAGGAGAAAATGAAGAAAATTCCTTATTTTATTAAAAATACGATATTTTATTTTAAATTCCACTCGGATACTATTGGCTAGCTATGTAGAGGTTCTACTCAAAGGATGCCAGCAATATTTAAAATATGGCGTTATAATTGAAAAACCCCATGCCACCAGAATTTTATAATAAATTGTATTCTCCCGACTAATCATGCTTTTGTACAACCAAAATCAAATTATAAAGAAATTTTTCCAGCCATGGGAAGTGGGAACTGGGCGTTGTCTTGATCAGAAATGTTTCCAGCACTGGGAATTGGGCGTTGTCATGATCAGAATAAAAAATAACTCTTGTAAAATAAACATCTTTGATTTATTTGGGATTTAAGAGACTCAATAATAATACACGACTCAATTTAAGATCAATACGCGTAAAATGACACAGACTATCATTACAAGGATCAGTGTCGGGTAATCGGGAGTGTGAGCTGGATCTTTAGCCCAGTAGTTATTATATTAGAATGAGTAGCCTGTAACCCTGCTATTGTGTGAAGGTATCACGGATAGCTCTTATCAAACACACATCTCTCTAATACATGCGTCTCTCTAATACACATCCCAAACACACATCTCTCTAATACACATCCCAAACACACATTTCTCTAACACACATCCCAAACACACATCTCTCTAATACACCTCCCAAACACACATTTCTCTAACACACATCCCAAACACACATCTCTCTAATACACCTCCCAAACACACATTTCTCTAACACACATCCCAAACACACATCTCTCTAATACACCTCCCAAACACACATCTCTCTAATACACATCCCAAACACACATCTCTCTAATACACATCCCAAACACACATCTCTCTAATACACCTCCCAAACACACATCTCTCTAATATACATCCCAAACACACATCTCTCTAATACACATCCCAAATACACATCTCTCTAATACACATCCCAAACACACATCTCTCTAATACACCTCCCAAACACACATTCCTTTAATACACATCCCAAATACACATCTCTCTAATACACATCCCAAATACACATCTCTCTAATACACATCCCAAATACACATCTCTCTAATACACATCCCAAACACACATCTCTCTAATACACCTCCCAAACACACATCTCTCTAATACACATCCCAAACACACATCTCTCTAATACACCTCCCAAACACACATTCCTTTAATACACCTCCCAAACACACATTCCTTTAATACACATCCCAAATACACATCTCTCTAATACACCTCCCAAACACACATCTCTCTAATACACATCCCAAACACACATCTCTCTAATACACCTCCCAAACACACATTCCTTTAATACACCTCCCAAACACACATTCCTTTAATACACATCCCAAATACACATCTCTCTAATACACATCCCAAACACACATCTCTCTAATACACATCCCAAACACACATCTCTAAACATTGACTGAATAGAGCCGCCTATATTTCCATTGTAAGCGAGGTAAATGAGAAAGTGGTCAGGTAGTACAGGTAAGTTTGAGAGCTATTTAATTTAGCCTCCTCTTCATAAGTTGGTCTATTCTCTTGGTGTATTGGCTGATAAATAAACCAGGACATAAACAGACAGACAGTCAGACTGAGATGGAGGTGACTGGTGAGTGGTGAGCCTTGTAATTGCAGAGTTTAGTATTATATCTCGTCATTTCTATAAAAGCCTCTAAGATACATCGTGACTTCATCTAATTCCTCTTTTACTATCTATTGAGGACGACACTTTACCTACAGGAAATGAGAGATAAGGTATTGGGGATAAGAGGATTACCTCACCCTTATAAAAGTGTAGTATTCTTACAGTAAACCAGCTCCTGCTTTGTTAGAAATCCGTATAAGGATCATTCGGCCCCCTCTAAAAGTAGGGCTTCTAGAATCTAGACGAGGATTATGATTCATGATCGTGTGTTGCTTGTGAGCTGTGTTTTCTTCAGTAGGCTAACTACTCCTCACACCAGAGGGTGATAAGGCTAAAAGGAGAAACTCAAGCGAGTTCACCAAGGTTGGTCAAGTGGGCGGTTTAGAAGTTAGAAGAGTTATACTGACATTAAAACAACTGTTAAATTACTAAACTAACTTTACAGAGATAAGACAAGATGAGGGGTAAACCAACCGACTTAAAAACAAACAAAACGAACTAACGGGCAGACAAACTGACAGAAAAATGGACTGTCCTACAAACTTACAAGAGTAGACATCAATACCATCACCCCGTGTGTTAGTTTATACTTACAGGAGTGTACCCTACTACTGTAATACTTACAGGAGTGTGTTAGTTTTTACTTACAGGAGTGTACCCTAGCTCCGCGTCCTCCGTGTAGAGTTAGGATGCTTACATGTCAGTAAAGGTTGCATTTCCACTGCATAAACTCATTGCTCCTCATACAACCTACAGAATAAAATGATAAGAGGAGAATAGAGATGAGGCTATCTAACAGAAGGTTACAAGAACATACAACCTACAAAATATAGAGAAATTAGGAATTAATTTAGTGATTTAGTGATCAACAGAAGGCATTAAGATATTTTTCTGGGGGAAATTGTATGGTGTTCCTGTCAATACATCAGTTCCATTGAACAATTCAATTGAACAATTCCTTATCCTGATAAAATCCTTTTCTTTGTCGCAATAAACGGGAACACTACAAATTTTGCCCCAGAAACATTACAATATTCGGCTAATAAATAATTTCCCGCCCCGGATATTACACGGTAAGATAACAGCAACTAAAACACGTGTGATAACACAATAATATAGTAATGATACACAGAGTTAAAATAAGCCATTAGCCAAGTCAGACAAGACGTCCTAGCACTGTGTACTGTCTTAACACAAGCTTCTACTGAAACAATCTGTAGATGAGGATATGTCTACTTTTAAAGCAATCTCACAGCTGAGCTGCTGATCGTGCTGGTAAAAGTTATCAAACAACTAATGTTGGTGGAGTAATTATGTGCATAATGGATAATATGTAATGAGGGGTGCTGTGGAACGAAACAAGTAAATAAAATGTAATAACAAATGATAATATGACTAATATTACTAATAGTATTAGTAGTAAGACTAATATAACTAATGTAACAGTTAGACGTGACCTATAAATTATGATTTCCGCATGTTAACACACACCCATTAGTGACAGAGGTTACTAATAAACAAATAGTAAAATTGGATTGAAGTATTATTTATTAATTAATATGTCTCTATAACTCTATAACAATTAGTAAAATTGGATCGAAGTATTATTTATTAATTAATCTATATAACTGATTACTGCGGGACTGCGGTGCATTACATGATTAATTGGGGAGTTCACCTGCACTTAACGCCTTAAAAATGTTATTTACAATAATCATAGAAAAATATAAAATCGTACGAAAAACACGGTGTGGCTTCACATTTTATTGTTAGATTTTAAACTGCTAATCTGAAGAACTTCAAGTCAATAATTTGATTAATTAAATTTGCCGTGGTGGATCTAAGAGTTTACTGATGTTCGAGTCAAACTAGCGCCAAATGCACACCTTCTTTTTTGAACGCGGAATTTTCTTTGTTTTCACAAATTCCGTGTGGTATTCACAATGAATTCTCAATAATTAAATTAATGAATTCGTCTCACAATCATTATTATTCTATCATGGGTAGAACGATTTTTTAAATTAGCCCAAACCGTACAAACACAACTAAAAGTAAGATACATCGGAGATGTTTATTCTTTTATTTAATTCGGAACATGAAATTGAGCTTTTAAACTGATTAATAATACGTTGTCCAAAAATTGATTACGTAATTATATGTGAACGACCCCTTATTCTCATTCAAATTAATATTAACACTCTTAGCAAATGTTTTAATGATTAAGTTGAATGTTTACTGAAAACAATTAAGTTATAATTCTCATTCAACTGCATGGTTAGAAAATGTTTTAATGATTAACGTGATCATGATGCAGACATCGAAAAACGTTTGTTACGATTATAATTAAAACTGCCGTAAAAAACCGAAATTTGAAGAAACAATCAACATTATTGACATAACTTGAATAGTAGATTAAGTAACTAACTGGAACTGAATGATCTTACAGTACCAGCTAGGGTAATTAACCAAGTGTGACCCCCTGTATTCGCCTCATGAGACAGCTCCACACGTGTAAACTGTATAATCTATATTAAGCTCCTCGTTTAAAGTGGCAGCCCTTATCAAGAAACATAAGATACCAAGGTTCCTCGTCACAAGTACTACAAACTACACAGCTGGATTATATTATTATAAATATAACAGCTAAAAGGTGTGGTTTAGATCAAAATACCTCAACCATAATGTCTCTATAATAGTAGCTCGAGTTATAACTATAGTTACTAGTAACTATAGTAACTAGTAACTATAGTAACTATAGTAATAGTAGCTCGAGTTGCTATAGTTACTATAGTTACTAGTAACTATAGTAACTCTAGTAATAGTAGCTCGAGTTACCTTCTCCCCGCAGGTCAGCTTATCTAGAAGCTTATAATTACTAGAATAAGCTCTAGTAGTAGCTTATCTAAAGAAGAGAACCAAGACATTCGAAACTAGGCGTATTACCCATGTAGCCGGATAGCTACTATTACTAGAGTAACTAGTTACTATAGTTATTATAGCTAGACATAGTGTATATAACGAATGACGAGAACTAACAATACGGTGTGTGGGCCCTCTTATCACACACCACAACAAATACTGGCTAATAGTGGGGCAACAACAACAAAACGAGGCTGCTCTGTAACGAGTGACAAAGAGGAGCTAGCTGTAGCTAGTCACAAAGAGCCTGGCTGCATGATCCAGTGGCTAACCCAGCCGAAGGATCCCCTACTCGGATCAGGGTGTACAAAAGCTTTGTATTCAGGCAGCTGGGAGAAGAAGAGAGTCAAGAGAGTGAGAGTGAGAGAGAGTTGGTCTCGTTTCATTGGTCCCGTTCTGCCCACGTGTGTGTTGATAACGCGCGCTCGTTGCCCGGTTACCATGCACGTGACCCCAGGACTAGCTTTGATTTGTGGTTTGGTAATACTAATAGACGGAGAGAGAGGAGTAGAGAGCACGGCTTAGAATGACAAAAGGCGAGTGTGTTAGAGTATGAAGAATAGCACGTGACGGGCGCTTGAAGACGTTTTACTAAGTATCAAGGTGTACCTCTGTGCAGTGTGTGGGGTAGGATATAATCTTTACCAATCAAATGCAGTACACCTGTAATAACCTGCCCTAGCCCCTATTGTGCTCTTATCTTATAATCTGCCCACGTGTGGTGTTAGTAACGCGCGCTCGTTGCCCGGATACTATGCTCGTTGCATACCTGGTACTATTGTGATCTTATCTTTGGAATGAACAGACGAAGGACTTAGTGGAGACATTTGATCGAATTAAGATGATTGAACAATAAAGCGAAAAAATAAAGTTTTAACTTTAAGATTAGATTATCGCAAAGCCTGAGCAAAAATGTGAACTAATAAAGTAATAATTGGAAGAGAATTGTTATGATTGGATTTAATTAAAGCTTGTAAAGGAGTGTTGTATCTAGAACAATATAAGATGCCAGCTTTACGATTTATTAAATAGACGAGTCAGGCGTCAACAAAAACACATAAAATTGAAACACAATACTTTTAAAAATACGGACTAACCTCTCCAAATTCGGTTCACTGAGCCAGGAAAACAACAAAATGTAGAATAAAAAACAATTAATTAATAATTTAATAGCGGAATCTTCTGTGGAATAGCTTCAGAAAGAACACATAGTTTCAGCAGACAGTTCACAATATACTGTTCAAACTTGAAATACTGCGCATCTTTAATTTTGTCAATTAAGATTCATTTTACTACAATCATATACTATAATGGTATAATGAACCAACAAAAGAACAACTCAGATTATGTGAATCCAGCTAGTAACAGTGAAGTCTCACTCCACACCTGAGATATTGATCTCCTTCTTTTGTGGGATCAGTTCAGTTTAATGAACTTTAATCAAATTAAACATGACGGTCACGAACGGGGGTAATTCAGCAGCTGAGCCTGATCGCAGTTACCAAGAGTTAGAATCTGACGTGTGATATCGCAGACACCCTATAATTTTTAAAATTTTTACAGTATGATAAACATCTTTTAGCCTTTTTATAAAATTAAAATGCATTCGTCACCATGGTGACCAAAAGTAATAAAATAGTTCTTATCTCATCAGCCCATATTATGACATTTCTGTCAGAGCAGTTATGTTTTATGTACAATTTTATATTATTATTGTATACCTTACTCGGGAATATTATGACTGGGATAAAGTGGTGGGTTTTAGAAAATTCCGCCATATTTTTCCCGGTCATTAATCTTCCCAGTCATAAATTAACCCGCTATAATGTTCCCGAGTAAGGTAAACTAATAGTAATACATTTTGATGCTAATTGGTGGGTTTTGGAAAATTCCGCCATATTTTTCCCGGTCATTAATTTTCCCAGTCATAAATTAACCCGCTATAATATTCCCGAGTAAGGTACTCAATATTTTCTTAAACGAACCTGTACTAATGTAGTTTTAGGTCGGCTAAAAAAGGATTATTTGTTTAGAGACCTCTAACTTAACACGATTCTTACAGTAACCATAGTAACCATGGTAACCATAGTAACCATAGTAACCGTAGTAACCATAGTAACCATAGTAACCATAGTAACCATAGTAACCATAGTAACCATAGTAACCATAGTAACCATATTAACCATAGTAACCATGGTAACCATGGTAACCATAGTAACCATAGTAACCATAGTAACCATAGTAACCATAGTAACCATAGTCTTATTATTGTATACCTTACTCGGGAATATTATGACTGGGATAAAGTGGTGGGTTTTGGAAAATTCCGCCATATTTTCCCGGTCATTAATCTTCCCAGTCATAAATTAACCCGCTATAATGTTCCCGAGTAAGGTAAACTCATAATAATACATTTTGATGCTAATTGGTGGGTTTTGGGAAATTCCGCCATATTTTTCCCGGTCATTAATTTTCCCAGTCATAAATTAACCCGCTATAATATTCCCGAGTAAGGTACTCAATATTTTCTTAAACAGTTAAACGAACCTGTACTAATGTAGTTTTAGGTCGGCTAAAAAAGGATTATTTGTTTAGAGACCTCTAACTTAACACGATTCTTACAGTAACCATAGTAACCATGGCCTGGTAACCATAGTAACCATAGTAACCGCAGTAACCATAGTAACCATAGTAACCATAGTAACGATTGTAACGATAGTAACCATAGTAACCATAGTAACCATATTAACCATAGTAACCATAGTAACCATGGTAACCATAGTAACCATAGTAACCATAGTAACCATAGTAACCATAGTAACCATAGTAACCATAGTAACCATAGTAACCATAGTAACCATAGTAACCATAGTAACCATAGTAACCATAGTAACCATAGTAACCATAGTAACCATAGTAACCATAGTAACCATAGTAACCATAGTAACCATAGTAACCATAGTAACCATAGTAACCATAGTAACCATAGTAACCAAAGATACCTCGGCAGTTACACAACTATAACTAACGTACTAAGGATATATTTGTCTATGTTATTGAAGGAAGTTGGGACGAACTGTGAAGAGAGAAAGGCTAAAAAAAACTGCGAACCCTGATGCGGGACAGGTATGTACGGAGGAAGTTATCCGGCGTAGATCGGACTTAGTTCCGACCTAGTAGTACTATACTTGTACTAGTAGCAGTAATTCTAAAAAGCATCATGTAAAATGACAATACACAAATTATCAGCCGAAAGACATACAACCCTCGCACAGAAGTAATTAAATAAAATTAAATCCAAACAATAGGTAGGTGAAAAAGGAATAATCAGCTCATCCAGATAGACAAACAGTGTCAATTTTAGTTACGTCGTACCAGGTTACCAGGTTACCAGGTTACCAGGTTAGTGTTACCAGGTTACCAGGTTACCAGGTTACCAGGTTAGTGTTACCAGGTTACCAGGTCACGTGCGAGTTGGCACGCTGACATGAGATAGGTACATATTTTACGTAATACTGAGTACATGAGGTACAGACACAGTACGTGTCGGGATAATGAATAATCAGCTAAATATTCTATGTCCGACGTACGATCGTGATCGATGGATGAGCTTACACTGTTTAAAATCAGAAAAATATTGTGTTTTTGAACCATCTTAACCTATGTGTTCACGTGTTGGAATAATTAAATACGTGCGTCACCATGGTGACACTACTAGTCTACTACACACGTGTTAGCATGCTGGCAGGTACCTAATTCTTTTGTATCCCGGAAAATTTTCTTAAAGTCGTATTTTTATTGTTTACTTAATTATATGCTTTTTGTAAACGTTTAATTTTAAGCTACACTGGTTCTCCCCACCCTGACACATTGTAAAATGGCGAATGACGACAGAAGAATGCAAATCATCGAAGCAGAGTATGTAAAAGTATGATCATGGTATGGATTGCAAATGCAATACTATGATGAACCTAGTTAAGTTCGACACGCACTATAACGTACTGTAGTAGTTTGACCGTTGTAGCGTTGTCAAAATTTACCCGGAGGATCAAGACCAGGATTTACGAGTACTGACAAGTGCCCGGACAAGTGCCCGGACAGGAGCTCAGTCACACTTCACTTTAGAAATGAAAATGCAACTTCCTGCAGAACAAACGCGGACATGATCTTAAAAATACAAACTTCCTTGCTGCCAGGAATGATGGTTTCCAGTACTAAACTCGCACTGTGCGTGTATAATGAATATAAAGACTACTACGCCTACAAGTACATACTACATACAGCCTTCTGACAGGAATTACGATGCAATCAACAAAAAGGTCCTAAATGTTAGGTGTATTTAAACTTGGTCGATAAATGTATTCAATTATTGGATATTCTACATTTTTATTTTAGCGTAAAACATACTCTGCATCATGGTACATTTGGTCATCCCTATCAAACATAAATAATGGAGTTTAAGTAACCATTGCGGTTCATCAGTACTCAGTAGGACTACTTAACTTATTACGCGAACCTAACTTACTGAGATTAGGGATTTTTCTTTTTCTTAAAGAGTTGTGCGATATGACGATACGTAGAGGCCGCAGACTTATGAGGACTACCAGATCCTGGTGTGTGGTGGAAGCTAAGTCAAAGTGATCCATGATATCATGACAGGCCTTACTATTAAAGGGCTGTAAGGGGTCGTTTACATATTACGCAATCACTTTTTGGACAATTTTTAACCCCCTCTCCCCTTCGTTATCAGTTTTACACATAGCTAAGCTATTGTGTCATAATTACACTAGCGTAATCATTTGCAACCCCCCCCCCCCCCCCCCCCCCCCCCCCCTCGGCTGATTACGTAATATGTGATAGGTCCCTTATTGAGACTAATGCTCAGGTTCTGAGGGAGGGACTGATGGGTGCTCAGAGACATCCTCTGCTGAAGAAACAATATTTTAAACTTTTAAAGCCCACTTCAACCCTGACTTCTCCCTACTTCAACTTGATGTGTATCTCAGCTGCACATAAAATGTTATAAACTGGTAGTGGTAGATTATAACTTTAGTGCCAAGTGTTTTTCACTTTAAAACAATGGAACTAATATTTGGAACAGTAAATTAACTATGATTATGTCCTTGTTGTAACGATATTTTCTGAATTATTGATCATTTTATTAATCAATCCAGAGTCTTTATTGAGGTAAGACTAAGTTTCAATGTGCAACGGGTTCTCTTCTCTTGGTTAGCCAGTCCAGTTAGTCGGGCCTTTAAACCGCGACGAAATAGAATTAGACTTAACACGGTGCACGCGTTTGTCATGTGTGTAGCTTTGTTCATCACCAGGACAACGGCTCCAAAACAAAGCCACTACCACGTACACCACGAAAACAACCAGAATGAGTATCAACAAACTATATACTTGTATAAACTCCGTCAGAAAGACCTACCAGATAACTTTTAAAAAGTCAGACCTAAGGAACAATAACCGGCCTGCACATGAGCGGAGTAGTGATGATAATCGGCGATGTAGAGATGTCCCAAGCTCCTTTGTAAATGTCACTGTTCAACAGCGAGAATAAGGAAACGATTATAACCGGCTGAGTGTGAGAGAGAGCGACCTTGGAGCATGGGCTGTATAATTTGTTGTGGAGAGAGAGAGAGCGAGAGCGGCCGAGAGGGAGAGCTGGAAAGAGTGCGACGTCATGCAATGCTTGTGTGGCGTCATGTGATGTTGTTGTGACGTCATATGATGCCGCTGTGACGTTATACGAAAGTATTGTGACGTCATAAATTTTATTGTGACGTCATACAATGTCGTGTGACGTCATCCGTTGTTGGCGTGACGTCATGCAATGCTACTGTGAAGTCAAGCGATGTCGTGTGACGTCATGCGATGTCGTGTGACGTCATGCAACGCTAGTATGGCTGTTTCCATGGTACAGGGCAACTGGAAACTGAACTAGATTAGAATCTTATGAGCATCCCTGCTGACTGCCACAAAAGAGAATAGTACTGCAAATTATTGTAAAGCTTCTCAGATCCAAGGTACATTTCCATTTGATTTGATGAAACCCTTTTAAGGATAATCTCAGTTAAGAAATTGGCAGAAACATCTCGACCAAACCGCTCCGGAACACCTCAAGGTATATTAATTGGGTGGTAAAGGTGGAGAGAACGGAGCTTGCAACTCTTATACTATATAGGTTCCAGTAAATAACATGCATGGTTGAGGTTTAGAGAGGGCCAGTTCTGTAGCTCATAATTAACATAATCAGCTCATAATTCACATAGGTGAGACCTAATATCATTGGCTCAAGCTCCCAAAATTCTTGTGCTCCAATAATTTAACCATGAGCAAAATTAACCTCATAAGAGGCAACCTGCAACTGTTTAGTAACTATTTGGTACACTCCGTCTATTTTCACCAGTCTAAAATTGCTCGTTTAGTATATTATAATATATACATATATAATATATCTAATTTTATTTAAATTGAAAATAAATGGAAGCCTTAGTTCGATACTGTAGAATTACTACGACTGTGACATGATGATACAGCAATAGTCGATACAAGTGAAATTGTCAGTTTACTAAAAAGATAAAACTTTAAATATTACAAAGATTTTCTAATTTCTACGTTGGATGTGTACTGTGTAGTAGTCATTATACTTATAGTTGGAACGACTGATCGAAAGTTTATTAGGAACTCAAATACTGAATTTTTTGGCTTCTATTAATTATGGCATCAAGACTTGTTTTTTGTTCGAAATGTCATAATGACGATCATTGATCAATGAAGCTGATGCTAAATTTACAGAATTGATTACTAATTGTCATTTAAAAATGTAAAACAATTTAATTTTTCAAGTCTCGAGTTTAAACTTCCGATAAATTGTTTGACTAATGAGCACATATGAAATTTTCTAAAATAAACTCTCAAAAGACAATATACAGAATAAATATTAAATAACAAACTAATAAATTATCTTTCACTCGAAAATAGGAATGGTTTACACGATGTTACATCTTTACATGATGTTGAAAATATCTTAAACTTTCGTTCCAATACAACGAATAGTCTCTCAGATGTCTAGACATTTAATCAGAAATACTCTTAATAGACACTAGACATAATTATGCAAATAACCCTAATTATGCAAATAACCCTAATATAATAACTAACAAGGTCTTAAGTTCAGTTCATTTCACCCTAATAAGAAATTTCAACCAATGTATTATTATTATTATGCTAAAACAAAACCTATTAGACATATTAAGAACCTACTAACATGATTACAACACAAAAGATGAAAAAGAATATCATTGTTAAATAGATTTAAAATAAATTCCGAAACCAAGACAAAAAAGAAAGCATGCAAATTCACGAACTTTGTTAAATCTGGTAAATTCAGAATACAAAATAACTAAAATACAATTTCATGGACTAACGCATGGGTTATCATTCATGCTTGCGCAATAACAGAGACTTCAAGCAGCGTCACAAGCTACTCAGACAACTTTCAGTCAAAACAAAATCGTATTGTCTCTATGATAACTGGGGTGTTGCTATGGTTACTAGAGTGTTGCTATGACAACTCCCAGTCTCTTCCTTCTTCTCTTACTCTGACAGACTGTCGTAGGACCCCTCTTTAAAGGCTCTTGCCACGCAACAGGAGATGAATATCGTAGCGAACTGAAAATAGGGTGGTTATGGTTACTGGAGTGTTGTTATGGTTACTGGAGTGTTGTTATGGTAACTGGAGTGTTGCTGTGTGAGCAGATAGTCCTGTCTGGTGGTGGAATGAATCATTTTGAAATCTTTCTCCAATATATTATCGTAAACTCTTGTTTACCGTACTAGTTTCCTATACGGTAAATCGAGCTGTTACTCTATATATCAGCAATTAAACTATCAACCCCTCAAACCTGGAATACACAAGTAACGAGCATAGCAATAGTGATGATGTTAAACATTGTCTCCATGTATAGGAACAGAGGTCGTTGGCAGCCAACTGTGAACATGTTCTCAGAGTTCAGGTCACATGTCAGCTCTGGGGCAGCACAGCAGGAACCTGGAACTTTGCCAGGATCTGGAGGAGGGAGATTTGTTTAAGGCTTGTTAGTTGAAGTGTGTTCTTCTGACACGTGGCAGCGATTAACCAATCAGCTTATCTTAACCCAAATATACTGTTTGGGACTCCAAGCACTATTTTGCAACCACTTGTTTTGGGTCATAATTTCTCAATTGGAGACGAAACGTCTAAACTCTCCTCTGATCGAAATAGGAAAGATAAACCAGAAACTGCTTTACTTACTGCTCTCTCCCCACGTGGATGAAGCCCAATCACTTGGCTCGTTGATACCGCAACAATCAAACTGAAGTGGTAAAATTAAGGCACATAATTTGGTATTATGACTAATTAGTTAGTAATAAATAAAAAATATTTGATAAATAATGCCCGATCAAATAACCTGCTGATTGCAGAAGATTGGCCGGCTAATTTAACAGATCAACGTAACAGGACATGACAGGTAAATTGTAACATGGTAATTACTCACATCAACTTGAACCCGGTCAAAGAACTGAGGCTGTTTCTCGTAGGACGCCATGCTAAGCTTTCCTACTTTCTCTGTTTGCGACTGAATTAGAGAGTGGATATCAGTTTGGGCGTTTCAAGTCCTCTTTACCAATATACATATTAAAAGTTCGTGGTATTAAAGGAATTTGACAAATGTTTCCCCCTAAATGTCCTGAATGTGGGTATTACCCAATGAACTTATTCTGCTTGGGCGTAGATCATCAGATGCTCTATTGGTCATAATATGCTCTAAGATGCCTGTAAATATGCTCATTTCCTGTCACTGGTAATGTCCCACAATTTACCCTACCAAGCTCTTATTCCAGGGACTAATATTTCTGTCCTAACCTCCTAAATTAAAATTATTAAGTTACAACTGAGAGTTACTACTGATTAACTTGACCGCGTGTTGCGCGCGCACATGCATCATTGCCGTCTGGGTGGATGCTAGATGCGCGTCTTTCGTTGTTAAAATGTTTTTGCGCGCAACGTAAACAGGAAATGAAAATATGGTCGCTCATAAGTCAGACAAGTTCAGAGGCAATCATGCTCCGGGTGCGGTTCAAAGCAATAATGAGCACCTCTTAAACGTTTAGTGATCCCTAATGATCCGTTATAATGGGTAACATCCCATTATTTTAGCCCATATGTGTGCAAAATAACCCGCAATTGCTCTGAAGCGGATATTAGTCTGAGATTAATAAGCCAATTTGTGGCGGACTAGATGCTTTGTTTGCAACCGAAGCTGTAAAGGTGCAGAGTTTTCGTAGCGGTATTGGTATTATGAGATGATTGCTTTCTTGTGCTAATGTTGGTGTGATGGCACCAATATCTACATGTGTTATATTGAAAGGTAACTCTTGGTAAAGCTGAGTAACTGAGTAGTTGATGAAGGAGCAGGACCCTCCTTAAACATCTCCTCAGACATCTCCTTAAACCCCTGGCCGTTAACAGAGAAGCTTTAATGTTTAGTTCTGACCAACAATGTTAACCATAAACGGGGAAATAGTAGACAAGGACTTAGGACTAAACGCTAAAAGTAGCGACCATGTTATCAGGGACTTTTTATAGTGTTTTGGATTCAGATTACATTTGATGAAATGGGTCCAAGTAATTGCGGACATGTGTGTTTACTGTGTTTGGGTGCCCATCATACTTTACAGCTGGGGCATTATTTTAGAACGGTTCTATTTTATGATGTACTGTACTCTGTAAAATTTGAAAAGTACTGAATTTTAAAATTTGATACATCTGCGATATGTTATATCTTTTCTTTTTTCTCCTTCGCATAATTGAAAGGTCATTCGAACAATATACACATTCAATTAAATCAAGTGATACAATGAGCAGAGCACAATACACAGATACCGGAAATGGTCCATTACTATCAATATGATTGTAAATCTCGATATGTTATATCTTGACTCTATATCCAGTAAGTTTCATTACATTGTCTGATGTAAAAATAAAACATTGGATTAGAAACAATAAACAAACGTGTGTAGAAATCTCAAGTCTCATTTTTAGTAAAAGTAACCTTAACATTTAAACACAAATTCCAAGTTCCGAACTTGAGATAGTAAATGTAGAGATAGTGTAGAAGCGCTGTTTATTACACACAAATGTAAGAATTTAGACTGAAAATTGATACCTGAAGAGTGAAGCTAGGAATGTTGAGGTCTTGAAAGGCAAAAGCACAAACTGGACAAGCAGTCTACATTTTAAGATTTTACAGTTTAGTTACTATATTATACTAAGATAAAACAATTCTTAAAGAGATGGTTTACTAAATATTTCAAAGGATGTGACTATATTATTTTTCTAGGACTTCATAGTAATCACTCATGTTTGATACTAGATCATTGATATCCAGTGGCTGAATCGTGTAAAATAATTTCCTACATTTTAGCTTTAACAAGTACCAGATCATGCACATTGTACGATGACCCCCACAAATCCCCGCCTAACTTAAAATGTTACTTTTGTTTGCACTTATTTCTTCAGTTCATTAAACTGTGAGATTGCACAATGATAAAATGATAACTTTTTATCTTTACAGTAAAAATGTATCTACTAAGACTCCATATTGCAGGAAATGGCGGGTTTTACTGTTAACGTTATCTTACTAACAGCTCATCACAGTGATGTAGAGTTGTGGTATTACTGCTAAATATTATATCATAGAACTATAAACCCTGTAATACTATCATATTATTAACAAGCCTACTTTACAAAGTACAAAAACTTACTTAAAGCTTACTTTATAAGGCATAAACATTTATCACAGGATTATCACAGATATGCAGAGGTTGTGATTGCTACAGTGCTACTCAAGGTTTATATCATAGTATTATGTACAATATTACAGGGTTTATACTGTGTATAAACATAATAACATAATGCCTACTTACTACAGGATTTACTAACACACCCCCGTGTTAACAATTAATCAGGCAACAATATCCACTAAATACTGGATACCCAGTGTTATATCGTATCACGTGATCATTATAAACCACGTGACAGGAACTAACCAATCAGCACATCTCATCCAGATCCTCTTATTTCTCATAGATATCTGATAAATGGTACACTGACCACAAGTGTGGTTAAGTTAACCCGTTACTGTGTACACTCTGCACGTGATACTGTGTACACACTACACATGTTATCTTACAGATAGGTAGAGGACCGGTCTCCTAGCGGTCCAGTAAATACGGTTTATAGAATATAGAGCAACTGTAATAGTTAAAGACGTTATTATGGAGGTAGATATGAAAGTTAGATATATTTTAATGTGAAATTAAATGAGCAGATCCAAATTGAAGATCTTGAGGCTTCTATCCTCTGATTCGTGATCAATCATTCGCAGAAACTCTACTTGAAGATTATGATAAGGGATTAAGGGCTCGCTGAATTGTATAACTAACTACAACGACATAACAAATTCCTTAGTTTCCCGACTGAAATACTGCAAACTCTCGTTTAACTTTGATGAGAACTAAAAAACAATGCGCTATAACCGCTCAGTACTGATCCTGAATACTCATGATCAGTATTTAACTTCATGCCACAACTAATATTCTGATAGAAACAACATATTATAGGACAACGACATAGTACATATTATCATGATTATGTCCCCATAATTATGTCCCCATAATTATGTCCCCATGGACGCACTGAATAACTTTTCTCAATACAGTACTTGAGTGCCTCCCCCCCCCCCCCCCCCTCCCCTGCTAATACAGTACCTGAGTAGCTATCCATACGAAGGAGCTGATCTGGAAGCAGAAGAGGACGACTGAAGCGAGGGAGACGACGTACAACATGCACCTGTGCTTTGTGCACATAGCTACACACATCACAATACCTGGGATAACACTTGTTAAACACAACCACGTGACATCACACTCTCTCACGTGACATCACACTCTATCACGTGACGTCACACTCTCAATCCACGTAAAATCACACACTCCCTCACGTGACGTCACACACTCCCTCACATGACATCACAGACCCTCACGTGACGTTATACTCCCACACGTGACGACACACTCTCCCTCACTTACCAGCAGCCAGAGTAACGCACCCTACCACTATAGTAACGATAGTGAAATCAGTGATATCTTGTTCAGATCCGTACTGGGGGAACATCTCCAACATGTAGACCGCACTTCCTATCAGCAACATTCCACAGGCACTCTGAAACAGGGAGGGTTACTTATACTTATCTTAACAAATAGTTCCGGGTTCTGTTTCTGTGGATATCTACTTATCTTATATCTTAACAAATAGTTACGGGTTACTTATCGCACATATTATTTCATAGCTAGTGAGATATGAGTGTTAAGTTTTAGACACATTTTACTTATAGATGATCTAGCATCCTACACTATCTCATTTTCTTTAACTGCTTTATTTTTTGATACCGAGATGATGTAAGAGTATAAGGAGAATAACCAAAAAGGAAAATCCGGTCAGTTAGATAAGGGAGTCAGATTTCTTAACCAAGTGACGTCACACTCCCCTCACGTGACGTCACACACTCCCTCAAGTGAACTGCTCTTCACTGGGTTTGGAAGTTAATTAATGTTGTTGCCAAACTGATTCATAAGGTAATCAGCTTTTTCAGTTAACTCCTCTCACGAGGCGAATACTAGGGGATACCAACCTCCCACTAGTAACATAACTAGTAACATAACACACGGCACCTGTCAAAACCCCTTACTTCTGCTTTAGTAGAATAGTAAATCCTCTCTAAAAGTTAAAAGTGTGTCCACAACCGGAACAAGGGGTAAGGAGAATGGTCTACCTTGTCGTCACCAGATACTACGACTCATTATCACGTGACCCGAAAATCTAAGTCACATGATTTGATATTCTGAGTCACGTGACTTGATTCATAATGTACCCTTTACTAAATAATAGGTTTGAGTACTCAGTATATCCAGCTAGTATTTCTCAGCTGTATATCCTCTTCAAATAATACCGCCCACTTCCTGTAAGCAACAGGAAATTTACACACTTTGAATGGTTCATCCCGCATCACGTGACTAAACCCTGGGTTCTGATTGGTTGACAAGTTAATCACGTGACATGGCCCCGGGTAGGGGTTGGTGGGAGGTTCTGGTTTTGTTACTTGATACACCAGTCGGGGAGTTGTGAGCTCCGTGTTTTCTACCCCCTCAACTACTCACAACACAGTTCAGCTTATCAAACCAATCACAGAACGTTTCCTCCATCACGTGACTTCTCTAAACCAATCAAATCGCTCTGTCTTCATCACGTGACCTCGGCCAGCCAATTGGCTTGTTGTGAGGAAATGAAGCTGCTCACAGGGCTGCTTTTTTCGTAGTTCGTTTCTGATCGTTGTAGTTTGCGCAAGATAAGATGGGTGTTGCTAAAGCTATTGGTTTTCTATTTGCTATCTGCGGCCTTCTTGAGTCCACATGTAAGTGCAACATAATAGTTGGTGCTTCTGATTCGGTTTTACTGTGGTTTAATCCGGTATTTCGCCTCAAACACTGCATTTCTACTACCTCACTACCTGCTATAACTGCTTATTGTTCTGACGCTGGGTACAGGATAATATGATAGTTCTCCCTGACTTGCCAAGTGAATTAGAGGAGTCACTGCTTGATCACTAGGTCACACGTTATGACGTCAGATAAACATTGTTCACCACCCCTTGATCTTACTACTGATAAGTAGCAGTAATGCAGTGATCTGATCTATTAATAGACTGATTAGTATCTAACTGTTTGTTCAGTTGCCCACGACTGTTTGCCGGGGTATGAAGCCCACTCAGTGGTAGGTAGTGATAACTACGAGTGTATACTGACACGTGTAGTAGAGGTTGCTCAGCAACGAGAGGTAGCTCAACCTCCTCTACCTAAACCACTGGCTCCCCCTATGAAGCAACAAGATGTGGTTAGTTACTGTTAATTAGAATAGTTTTCAGTTATTGATTTATTAATTTTTAGTTGTTGATAATATCGGTGGAGGCATCAGAGATTATTTTACATCTGCATAATTCTACCTAAATCCCTCAAATCTCCCTGCTATCTGTAGCTTGTATGATTAAACAGATAAAAAACGATCACCCTAAAAAATAATCATCCTGTCAGGTAATCGCCAAAGCCGTTATTGCCGACGATGTACCCGAAGGTTGCAACGCCGTGGTAAGTAGAGGATTTTATTCGTTACTAATTTATCAAAGTACCAATATCCTTTCTAAACATCCACTAAAGAACGATACTCATTTGTTGTATAGAATTTATTGTACATATATATACTAAATATACCTAATCTAAATATGTAATACTTCACTCTTTATGTGTAATATTTCACTCAATATCTATAATATATTTTAAACTTGACGAAATCCCCCCGGCAACGGGAACATGTCGTTATTTTAGCAAAAGTTAACTGTGTCAAAGCTTTTGACTAGCTAGTCTCTAGTGTGTAATATTTCACTATTTTCAGACTCCACTCGGCAGTGAACAGGGAACCACATTTAACTTGAGTTGCAGGGAGAACAGGGCTGTTACACGTATCCAGATACCGCAGAATGGGGTACCAGAGATAATGTGCTGCCTAGTAGTTAAAGTCTAGTTACCATGGTTACTAGTTATAACTTAGGGTCTAGTTACCATGGTTACTAGTTAGAGTCTAGTTACCACGGTTACTAGTAAGAGTCTAGTTACCATGGTTACTAGTTAGAGTCTAGTTACCATGGTTACTAGTTAGAGTCTAGTTAACATGGTTACTAGTTAAAGTATAGTTAATGGGCAATGAGTATACTAAATACAGTAAAATCCTGATTTATCGCGGAGAAAGGGAAAAAGGGAACAACCGAGGTAAATCGAGACGTGGTAAAACGGGGTTTTACTGTAATAAGCATATTATGTTGTTGTTTAATAAACTAGGATTATTATTTTACTACACGATTAATGTTATTAAAGGAGTTTTGTTATTATATGAAGATGAATCCAGTCACGCAGTAAATATTTTATCTAAAGTTTTGCCAGATCCTCTACTAGTAGTACGTGTAGTGTTTATCTAGTTTATTCAATAATTTGAAGTTATAGTTTGTTCATATTGTGCATAGATGTTTGGTTCGTTATCAGAGTCACACGATTAGGAAGTGTCTTATTTTGCGTTAAACTCGTATTTCTATTACAACTACAATTGGTTTAAACGATGGAAAATATTTTCCCCAATGTTGATATTTTTATAATTCTACTTATAATTTCACCAATGTTGATATTCCAACTCAACTTAAAAAGAATCTATTATTCTCTAGCAACATGTTACTCTTCCTGTCCCTTACCCTGGCATGTTTCTCCGGTAAGTTCATAATATTTCTACTTATTACCCGTATACTCTTCTTCTGGCTTAAAAAGGAGACAGTAACTGCAATGTTAAGCTGAGAACTTGACGAAATAATTTTGGTTGAAAATATATTCTGCTATACTCCCTATATATTCTTCTATATTCCCTATATATTCTGCTATACTCACTATATATTCTTCTATACTCCCTATATATTCTGCTATACTCACTATATAGTATATATTCACTATATCTAATACAAGCTACCATTCCAGCGAGTGTATCAGTGGACTGTGATATAAACTACGAGAGGCAGGACATAGAGAACTCTCTAGATTACGTGTGTACTCATCTTACTAACAAGAAGACATCCTTCACTGACGAGGATATACTCAAGGTATACTTAACTTCTCCGTACTTCTCTCTTCACTAATTACTTAATTAGTTAATTAATTAAGTAACCAATGTAAAATGTTCCAATTCACTGCTTTTTGCTGATAATTCATACCTTACCATCTCACTAATTAATACCCAAATTTCTCACCAGCAACTAGCACTACTAGAGACTGAGGCAGAAAGCAATAACGTGGAGGTGGAGGAAGAGGAGGTCGTTATATTTATACATGTGTGATATTTGCTTGTAATTACAGATTTTAAGGTATTAGTGCAGAGTAATGCCTTCTCAATCAATTAATCAATTAATTAATAAAGTCGATTTTGAAAGCTCCTGCTTAATAACATTTCGTATCACTTATATGTTTTAAAAAACCCTCTCCAAATCAATCAATTAATCAGGAAGAGGAGGAGAGTGAGACACCCCCCTGGGTAACCACAGTAGAGACAGCAACTGCCACAGTGCTGCTGACTACCACAGGTTTTGAGACCTACTCAGATGAAACAGAGACCTACTCCACACCCTTTATAACAGATGAAACAGAGACATACTCCACACCCTTTATAACAGATGTAACTGACACTGCAACCACCTCGGACATGTTCACTTATGAAGAGTCCACCTCGCCTGTAACAGCTCCCTTTAATTCAACAACAGATGACTATTGGACTATTGGACTGTCCACTTCGCCCCCGAAAGGTAATTATAGTCTACTAAACTACCATCTACTATACGATCTATTACTGCTGTATCTAGTGCTTTGCAGCAATAGTAATGCATACTTATAAAACTGTAACAGAAACAAAACTAGGAAATTTATAAGGTTTTTCCAGAATGTCAATCCCCCAGAAATCAATCGACCTTTTTAAATTGTTTGAGCTCAGTGAGATTTGTTAATTTGTTATCTAAACTCCTTTCAGGACTTCTAAACCAGGTAGACGTAGGATGCCAACTAGCGACAGTGACAGTAGGTTCGTGGATTGTGTGAAATTTCAACTTTGTCACACTTCAACTTTGTCACACTGCAACTTTGTCACAGTTCGACTTTGTTACATTTCAACTTTGTCACATTTCAACTTTGTCACACTTCAACTTTGTCACATTTTCATGTCAAACAACTCATTTTCTTTTGAATTCTTTTACATGGGTAGAACAAACTTTAACCTGGTCACCTTGCTGCCTGCACAGTGCACAAGAGCAAATCTAATTTTTCTCAAGGCATGTACAATGTACATTTATATTTTTGCTAATATACTGACCTCTTCAACTTAAAGGTGGATCCTAGTAACCTAGTAACCTGGTAACCTAGTAACTTAGTAGCCTAGTAACCTAGTAACATAGTAACCTAGTAACCTAGTAACCTAGTAACCTAGTAACCTAGTAACCTGGTAACCTAGTAACATAGTAACCTAGTAACCTGGTAACCGAACATTTCAGACGGTAACAATATCTGGCTTCGTTGCGAAGGAGGAACAGCAGTTGTGAAGCTCAGCACAGAGAACAATGGAATACCTTCAGTAGAGTGCTGTCCGCTAACCAACTAGTTACACATTACCTTATATATGGTCATTTTGTTATGGTTATATTACCCTTATATGGTAATGTCTTGCTGTGATAAAATTACCTTATATGGTTATGTTTTGCCTGTTACATTTGACTGCATTTCTCGCCTAAGGGGAACATTGGGTTAAAAGTTTCTTAATTTGGGAATTTATTTTATTTTTCTTTAGTTATTTTGATTGTCTTTTTTATAATATGTGATTTAAAACTGGTTTTATTCTCATCATGTACATACGGTCCAGACGCCACGAACTTACATAAGTTATTTTCTTAATCTGTTGTATTTCAAGTTTATTAGATTACTGTTATTGCTTGATAAATTCAATGATTGTTTTAAAATTTACTGGAAGAATGGTTTCTTATTATTGCGTAATCCATAATGTTTAAGCGACAAAGTTTATTAAAAACGTGAATGACTTTACTTTCCCTTACCAAAATTCAAATAATCTCATCATATCCCTATTAAATTTAATGTCGAATCTATGCCTAAGCCAATGTCAAGTATGCAATTGAATTCTGATCAGCGCATCATTTATCACACAAGCACATTCCCCTTATATACAGTCGTGCGGCTTATTGTAATTGACATGAACGACGGTTCGAATCTTACTGTCCACTTTTCACGTACCAAATTCTCCTTTGCCTGTGTTCTTTCTCCAACACCAACCGTAACTGTGATGACTCATGAGGCACAATGGCAGAAAGTTCTGAGCAGAGGCAGCCCTTTCTAAACAGTTGTCTTGAGTGTAGGCTGGCGTTGAAAGAAGAATGAAATGAAAGTCAGCAGTGATGCACGTTAGCTGCGGTCACCCCAAAGTAATGATGTGATAAATCTCACAATTGAAAATAGTCATGGAATAAAACTAATTGCAACACTACAAATCTATTACATTTATTGAAGTGATACTCCCTTGTGGAATGTGGATGGCGGTAAAAATCCGAGTTTCAATTAGGACAGCACTCACGAGGGGCAGCACTCACGAGGGGCAGAACGCACAAGTCGCAATTAACACAAGTGCGGAGCAAAAGAGTGATACGAATTTTAAAAACTCTTCAATTCACAGAACATCTACGGTATCTCTTGGTAAAATGACCTGCTGACGGTTCCCTTCCCGCCCATTGCAACACGTGGTATTAGGTCACTACACGTGGTCGCTCTGCAAAGAAACAAACTAAATGTATCCCCTTATTGTGGCAGTTCCCACTCAATTGCTTATCAGGAACTGTTCTGTTTCGTGCTACTGATTTAATTGGTAAATTACGTAATGTCTTGACTTAATAAAAAATAAAAAATTGCAACTATCTTCGACCCTCTACCAATTACTACTTGCCTGTTCAGTGTTCTTGTTAAATGTTAAGTTTCTGTTATTTCTCTCTTTAATTTTGTTGAATAAACCTTGGTCCTTGACTTGTCGAAATTTTCAACTTCCGGTTGAATTTTGCAGAATACAAAATATTTGTACAATTGTAACATAAGAATGTTAAAACCGTGTGACGCGAGTGAAATCAGCCGTTAAAAAGGATCGAATTCTCTACTCATCCTACAAGTACAACCTCCCTGGTGAGGAGTCAGAATCATACCACCTTGCAGCTTATCATAGGAGATTGTGACAACCACGTGACTTTTAGTACACCAATGGAAATGTTTCCTGGTAGGTTTATCAGGGGAGGAAAGACAAGGACGTGGCACTTCTTTTTCGTGTATTTCAGTGTAGTAGTAGACGTTTTGAGACATGAACTCTGCCAAATATTTTGTTTTCTTACTCGTTCTTTATTGTGCTTACGACACTAAGAGTGAGTAAAACTGTTAAGAGCATATCGATATACAATTATTATTTCAGCCATGTTGCCCAGGGTCACCAATCATTGATAGGTTTTTAGATCTGAGCAGTTCACCAAAAGTAACAATTGACATATATCCATTGTGATACAACTAGGATACTGGCAACTTTTATTCCACTGTCTTCAGTGAAACGCTTTCATACCACACCAAATCTAGGTATTTCGAAATTTTATATTGCGTACCACCTTGATTCTTTTTGTTTCTCTAAATCTAGTCTTATTTACAGGCGAACAGATCTGTGGTCCGGGGTATGAAGCACATGCAGTTGAGGGGACTGACATCTACGACTGCATACCAATACCAGCACCACCAGCACCGCTTAAGCAGGCACTGGTTTAATAAAAATCTATCATTAGATTTCTCCTTCGAATTATTTATTTGATTTTCAATCCATTTGAAGTTGCAATCTCAAGCCAACAGATCGCTTTTAATCAGATGGATTCTGTTTTTGATCAGCAACTTCCCATCAGGAGAATCAAGAGACAGCAGTACTACGGTGTCCTGACAACGAGGCTATGGTACGATTAGAAATCCTTAACGACGGTACAGCGCCGATATACGAATGTGAGCCAGTGCCGCAATGATTGGATGGTTTTATCGAGTTATGATTTTGTACTTTTATCAGATATGAATCATAGATTGAATGACAATAAAAACGGCTGTTCAAAACTTTCGTACAACATCATCATAATCGATCATTAGTATGTTATCAACCAACAAAGATTGAAATTATGTAGGGAAAGAATTTCGAATTATATTCAAATATATCAAGAATGTTTTAATTGAATGCAAGCAAACCAACAGTATATATTTCAACAGTAATATTTCAACGTTGTGCAGTAGATTATTCTTGAACTTACCAATATGACGATAGTTATGTTGTAAATACATCCCAAAACGAAGCAACCCATGGCTAATCTGAAGATTATTCATGTTAGCTCAGAACATGCTTTTAAGATCAAATAAATGGTTTACAAATTTCGATTAATTTTCAGTATTTTCTTAAGTTGGACACTGACAGATATAACAAAAAATAGGAAAGTCAATATATCGAATGAGCTTGTTTCGACCCAGTATAATTGTTAGAGTGTGGGCATAATACAGGGGTAAGGTCACATTTTAAACTAATTCCTCTCCAACATACGAGACTACTTGAAGAATAAGATCTCTAAACTAGTCTCCATAAAATAACAAATATGCCTCAACACAAAATCATAAGTTTAATTGTGACCAGCAGGGAAAAAACTGTATGAGCTACCCCACCGTTCACTATAGTGCTGTCAAACTACCCAGTACTACTCTTCTGTGCTGAAGGGGCTGTAATTCCCAGGGGGTCGGGGCACGTGTATCCCCAAGATTTTAAGACCAGCTCAATTTTTGGTCTCAACAGCACAGCAAAAGTAAATTTCCTGATTACTGATCCTGAATAAGCAATATTGCCTGTAATAAAATAGAGGGAACAGGAGTTCTGAAGTGCAACAATATCACTAAAAATGTAAAAATCTGAGTAAAAGACCCCTTAAGAACTGAGGAAAATGTATAAAAACCCCTTAAAAACTGAGGAACATTTATAAAAAACCATTACAGTAAAAGTAGCCAAATGACAATCAATGCACTGGCAGTAAATTTATATCTAAATCTGTTATTTTAACTTCACAACCACTTTTCACCCCTATTTCTCCTCTAAAAGCAATAATTGTTGTTCTCAAGAAGTCGAATCTTATTCTTTTCCTGATAAATATCATCGCCTCACTGTATCTGTGACCTGATTTTCTAGATAGGTTATCGGCTAACTTTTTGAAGGAAGCATTAGCTTCTTTTCCCATTCCACCCGTTCTTGATAGGACTATTGGTGTAAATGTTCCATGTTCCACTCCAATGATCCTTTTGTAGTATGCGCTTTTCTTCTGTCTCTCATGGCTAGTGTAATACTCGTTGGAGATCCGAGAGCCTTATTGGAATGAGCTTGAGAATAAAATACTCGTAGATCTAAAAATGCCCTTTTCAATAGGTTCCAACTACTTCTAGCGCTTACATTTAATTTAGCTCCATCTGCTTTGTTGGAGGAAGTTCTGTCCTGTTGACAGGAATAAGGAAAGTTTCAGTAAAAAATTTGTACATCCGACAGTTTCTAAGATCTCTGCTAGCACATCTTTCAACGAATTGTGGCGAAGTGATAAATACTCACCCCTTTTGCATATCAATAAGTGGTTAATTGATTTGTCACTTCTACACACACACACACTTACTTGTAATACGTTGTAGACCTGCCACGCACAAGTGCGCGGCTGTATCGTGGCAACGATAATAGTGAAACGACGATACTAAGTGCAACGACAATACTAACAACTAAGTAAAAAGACAATGGGGGTCATAATTGACCATTGTTAATGATCTGGCCCGGCGCGCGCTACTTCGTAGCTCGTGCCGTCGGGCCATTTCGAGAAGAAAGCGGCGCGCGCTACTTCGAAGAAATTTAGACGAGTAACATCCGTCAAGGGTCATAACGTTTTACAATCGTTTTTCAATCAAACTAAGGTTTGATTGAAAACATGTCAACCCTTCCAGATCGTTGCTCTGCAATAAAACAGAGCAATGATTATTTTTACGGCTGATATTGGGATACGAAACATGTATCAAGATATTTAACAAAGTTGCTCTCGTCCAATAATATTGCCGCATTATATGCTAAGCTCCGCATAAGAATATGTGTAATTCAATTATGCATAATGACTTGTAGCGCGATGCCAAATGCATTATGATAAATGTCAGAGCGCGATGCACTACTGGGCCGCGCCGCGCATCATCTCGCAACCACAATTGCAGATCGGCGAACTGCGAAGGATTGACATCGCGAATCAATACCAGATGCGTTATATACTTGGCCGCACCGCGCACTCAAACATGCTTTTCGCTTGATCGGCGGGATGCGCTACTGGCCTCGAGTCCCCGAGCTGTGATGAATTGACATCGCCAATTTAATCATTAATAATGACTTGCAAAATGCAGCGATTTCTTTCATGATTGCATGCGAGTAATTGTATCTTGTCAAACGTTGTATGACCCGCCGCGCACGAGTGCGTGGCTCCAGCTCCCCTGTATCGTCAGGACACCACAGTAAAACGACCGTGGGGGTCGCAACGTGATACAAATTGTATCATGATTTTAATTGCTTTTGGCGACGTTTGAATACAAATGGCAGCGTTTGATCGAAAGCTTGGCTTTAGCCGACTTCTTTAGTTAAATAAAAAGTCAATTTAATCGCGATCGTTTCCGTCTGCTTAACGGGCACGGGTGATACTTGTAAAATAATTGTTTTAAATAAGACAGTCGCGTGGACGAGTCCATCCCGGCGCGCGTTTTAGTATGTTACAAACCATCTGCATGTAAATATAATAATGATAAATTATAATTAATTGTTCATTGTTGATGTAACCCGGCGAGCGTTAGTTCGTATCACTTGCCTCGGGCTAATATTTAGAAAAAAAGCAGTGCGTTCTAATTCGAAGAAATTTAGACGAGTATCATCCGTCAAGACAAAAAGCATTGCTTTAGCAAAAACCTGTTCCACCCTAAAGACTCAAAAGACTTCAATAATTAAAACCTATTTAAAACTTGCTCTAACTAGAGCCCTCTCGCTTGCAGCAGCGCGCGACCGCCGAAGGCTTATGAAACAAGCGCGTCACGCAGTACGCGTATACACATGGTTAATTAACAATGTCAATTCATCTCAGCTCGGCGCGGCACAGTAACGCATCGTCGCTGTGAGAGGCCTCATTAAGTGAACGGCGCGGCACAGTAACGCATCGCGCTACAGACACATGGCTATGTGAAATTATTTAAAACCACACAATTTTGGTCCAGGTAGAGGATGGCAAAAAAGCTAATTTTTTTCCAACGTTTACAATTTTTCCAAAATCTCTTTAATATTTTGATTGACGGATGTTACTCGTCTAAATTTATTCGTACTCGCGTAGTAGCGCGCGCCGCTTTCTTCTCGAAATGTTGCAAGTGCTACGAAATGACGGCAAGTGCTACGAAGTAGCGCGCGCCGGGCCAGACCATTAACAATGGTCAATATTTTGATGGTTTTCCATTTATCAAAGCTTTGGAATAGAACTTTAAATATCTAAATCGAGTCTCTTGCCATTTTTAATGACCTTCAACCTTGTTGCTTGTGAGATTGTCATTGAAGAAAAGTTCAGGTGCTACAGTAAAATTTGGTTCAAAGACAAAAGAGACCGCAGAAAATCTTTTCATCAAAAATCTTCCAAAATCTGTTTTTATATTTTGTTAATTGACGATGTCAATTCATCTCAGCTCGGCGTTAATTGACGATGTCAATTCATGGCAGCTCGGCGCGGCACAGTAGCGCATCTCGCCGATCTAGCTGTGAGAAGCCTTATTAAGTGCGCGGCGCGGCACAGTAACGCATCGCGCTACAAAGCTCGGTGCGGCACAGTAGCGCATTTTGCCGATCTATGTCCAATGTCGCTGTAAGAAGCCTCATTGAGTGCGCGGCGCGGCACAGTAACGCATCGCGCTACAAGTCCTACCAGTAGTCCGACATATTCAAAATGTTCATTGCATCAAAGTTCTCTCCCGATATACTACTTTCAGTACTTTGATGGCGATTTGTGTTACTCTACCGACCTCACTGATTGGTCACTGGTCAAAATTTATTTGCTACACGTTTTATACCTTTCGTGCACGCGAAGCGTGCACGCCAGCCGGCCGGCCGGCGAGAGAACCGGCCTTCTGCGGCCGGCCGGCCGCGCGCGCTTCGTGCGCGCTCAAAAGGGGTTGCAGCGTGTGCCCAGAAAACCTTACCGCCTGCTGGGCTTGCTAGAGGTGATAGATTTTCAACAGCACGTATGGCGTCGCGCGTCACGTCAAGTTTACCTTTCGCACGCTGCATTGAGCCAAGTAGTCATGACAACGACATTTCTTTGCAAAGTTTAAAAGCTGTGATCATTTATTTAGCCCAAAATCAAACTTTTCGGTTTAATTCAAAATCTACGTTGTCCCCAATTTGGCTCCTGGGGAGCCAATTGTAAATTCACGAGACGGAAATTTTGTTGAAAACCGGAAGGTTCTATCTATTTCACTTTTGGAGATATACCCCAGATGGTAGGGTTTGCTGGGTGTCAAAAAATTCTGTTAAAACCGCGAAATGTCGGTCAAGGGGACGGCAGAAAAGTTCCTCTTCCAAAATATCTTTTCGGATTTTGATGATTCTCTGTCTATCATAGTTTTCTTCGGGAATTGTACTTTGAGTACCTCAATCGTGTCTTGTGCCATCCTCAGTGACCCTGTAAGATGGTCATTCAGGGATACTGATAGTAACAGTATATTTAAAGAAATACTAAATTCATGGTTAACTTGTACTTAACAAAGAATGCAAGCTTTCTTTATTTTTGTAAGTCGCGTCGGCTGACATCTTGGGTTGTACTGGATGTAACAAGTTTATTATCGGATGTCTACTTATATTTATTATGATATCATTATTCATTGTAATGGCAATAAAATTTAAATTTTGTTTTACTTAAAAATTTTGTTTTACTTAAGTTTGACTGTCAAACGGTACCGATCCATCATGTCAACGATGGAGCCATGCTGGTGTAGGTGATCCACGCAAAGCCGTACCAAATTGTACAGGTTCTTGAGAACATTCGACACCAAATTATTGCACTGGTAACTCGTTCTAATGATATTTTGGTTTTCAGCATAAAACATAGATTTTAGGATAATCATTTTTTTTTTTTTTTTTTTTAAGGCACAAAAACACAATTTTTCCAAATCTTTTTTTGGTCCATGAAAGATATCTGATTTTAATAAGCCAGGATATATTCTGTAAAACCCTCTGGTGTCGAGATTACTCCATCAGACCCCAAGTTCGGATCCACTACTGTTAAAAGGAGACCCGTATCCAGTGGG